ATGCTGCAATAAATATAGGGGTGCATATATATTTTCGAATTAATGTTTTGGATTTCTTTGGATAAACACCCAGAAGTGGAATTGCTGGGTCATAAGGTAGTTTTATTTTTGATCTTGTGAAAGAAGGAATATCAAAGGATTTTTGGACATATTTTAAAACCAACACACCGCACATGGCGATTTTCCTTCTCCCACGCTGGTCACTCCTTCCTTCTCAACCTCTTTTATTAGCCTCCACTTCCACAGGGAACAGTCTTTGACCCTATTTTCTTCCTTATCTATACCCTCTCCAAGTGACCTTTACGGTCCTAGTGCTTTCAATGCATCTAGATGTAGGTAAATTAGATAAATTCAAAATACAAATCTCCAACCCCAGACTCTCTCTGCTGCATTCTTGACCTATCCATTAGGATGTCTCCCTGAGCTTAAAACATCTAAAACTGAATTCTTGATCAGCTGTCCAGAACTCGCTTCCCCCACTGCCTCGCCTCTTCTCCCTATCCCAGAACGAACAGCATCCAAACTTTTGGTTCAAGCCAAAAACCTCGACATCATTCCTGACAACTTGCTCTTCCTCCCCACTTATATTCAATCTGACACTAAGTCCTGTTATGGATCATGTCTCAAGCCTGTCTCCTTTCCCTTCTGCCTCCACCACCCAACCACATCAGCATCATGTCTCACCTGAACCTCTACAATGGCTTTCCTTTGTTTCTTCTTTTGCCCCCTCGGTCCACATCACAAAGTGTTCCTCTTAAAATTTAAATCAGATCATGCCAGCCCCCTCTTTAAAACATTTCAGTGACTTTCCATTGGATTAAGAATAAAATCCATTCTGTTTACAATGGCGTGAAAGGGGACCTGCTTGATCTAGTCTTTGCTCATTTCTCTTACTCCATTTTATATTGTTCTCCCCCATGTTCACTATGAATGAATGAATGTAGTGGAAAGTAAATGTAGTCGTCTTGATAACACTGGCTTTTTTTGACTACCTTCCCCTATTGATGTTCCCTTCACCTCATAAATAAACCACTTGCACTCAAATCCTTGTCTCATGGTCTGCTTCAGGGGGAACACAAGCTAACACAGTCCTCATCTGCAATTTCCACCAATAAGTTCTGAGCTTGGAAGATAAGTGAGAGAAACAGAGGAAGCAATGAAAAGTTCTGAGTTTTGCTAACTTTTGCCCTACCACTCCTGGCATGGGAAATTTGAAGATACATCAGTCAGTATACAGTGGGACCTGAGAGCTTGATAATCTATACAACCAGGAAGGTGAGATGCTTTGGGGTATCCCTAGACCTATTGGACTTAGACTGTGTATCTTGAAGATGGATGAGAACCCAGAATTAATCTTAACTGGTTAGGTACAATGGACTTGCCATACTAGGAGCTATGATGAAAACAAAACAAAAATCAAAAACAAACAAAAAACCCTCATAGTTGGACCTTGTTATCCCAATTTAGAAAAAAATAAATTACTTCATTTGTTTGGCAACATTTAAACGGATTTAAATATCAGTTAAAGAAGTTTTAACTTCTCAATTTGTCTTGGAGAATATCATGAAGTTTCCTGGAACCTGACCGTAAGCAAGCATACTAAGAATTCTGGCACAGTATATTTTTGCAAAATATAAGGAATCCCATGAAGAAATACTACACTACTTCCACAATCCCTGGAATATTTTTAAATTAACTTCAGCTGTGGAAATGGTGATCTTCTGATTAATTTGATCAATGTAGACAGCAAGCTGTATCATGCAGTAAAGAAACTGGGCAATTCAGCATTTAAGCTCAGACTCCACAGCTCAGGGACTCCTGTCCACATAGACTTGCTCACCTACATTAATACTTTCCTGCCTCCGGACCAAGCTTCCTGGGCCTTCTATGTGCCAGACATTGTTTAAGAAGAGAGATATGAGTGAGCGAGCGAGAGTGAGCAGCCTGGCCTCCCAAGGTGGCAGATCGTTTCAGTCCAAGATCAGGAATTCCCTTTCTAGGTTCATAAACTCCTTTTCATTGATGACCCCAATTTATCAGGTTCTATGGGGTTGGGTCAATCCAGCCAAATACATAAAAGCTCATTATACTCAGACATCTATTAAATTCTGATGGTTGATACTGTGCCTTAACTATGCATCCTTGATATCCCAGAATGCAGTGGTCGTATTTTGCACATTCAAATTACATACTCCACTAAGTATGGAACTAAATGAAATTCATATTGATAGCTTTGTGAGATTTTTTTGTATGAATGGATTCACATATAAGGAAAAAATCATGTGTCCTAGACTTTAGGAAAGGAAATGGTTCTTGAAATACCACTGTGTTGATCAGAGTAGGCTAACTTCTGCATCAGAGCATCTCAAAATCCCAGTGGCTAAACATAGTAAAAGTTTGTTTCTTTGCCTGCCTCGGAGCCCGAGGCATATTTGAGAGACTGCGGCATGCCTTCATGTGCGGCCAAGCTCCATCCATCTTGAGAGGCGCCATCTTCCTCCAGGTCCACAGAGTCCTCTTTATTCAATGGATTGATGGAAAAAGAACACACTGAGGATCCCATGGGAGGCTGCGTGAGCAGGCGTGGAGGTACTCTACCTCCATTCCGTTGGCCAAAATGAATCACGTGGCCCCACCTAACTGGCAGGCTGACTGGGATGCAGTAGCATAGCTTTGTGCCCGGAGACACAGAAATGGATTTGATGAGCATTTAACTTTCTCTTCCACGCTCATTAAATTGCAGCATATGAAATTATGGATATTTGGCCATTTTTAACTTAAAATATGGCAGTTTCATATAGTTTAGCCTAATAGTTATGTCCCTTATCCAGAATACTCACAACCAGATAGTAAATTAAAAGAATAATCGCATTAGTGATGGGAAAGTTGGTGAGTGGGCATGGAATTAGAGCAAAGGTAGAAGGTGACGCTGCTGGGAAAGTAATCTGAGTCATTTGCTAACATTATCGTAGAATATCGTGTAAGAACTATGTAGAAACTAAAAGTTAAAGCTTCTTTAGCAGTTTTTAAAAGATTTTATAAGCTAATGTGCTCTGCTATTGTCAATATCATGCTTGCCTGTGCTGGATTCTTTTCTTCCCCTCAATAATATTGTTTCGACTTAAACAGAAACATTTAATAACTAATTTTCTTTTTATGCATAATTTTAAATAGCTGTACATGTGCATTAAAAAAATGAGCAAGCATAGAATGGAGCTGGATTTTTGATGTAATAAATCAATTTCCTGTGGCATCTATAAATCAGCAAGTAATTATTAGCAATTCTATCCACTAGTAACTTCCCACTTTAATTTTCCATGTTCATGACCAGATGTGGAATTGGATGATCAAACCAATAAAAGCCCATTGTGACTGTGTCTTTGAAGCTATCTCTCAAAACTGGGTGAACCCATGATGGCACCCCATTAATTAAAAGGCACGTTGCTTACATGGTTCTCTGACAGTTTTTCCTTCAGTGTTGTTTCGAGCTGCTTGGTCCTCTTTAGAAAATATGCACAGAACGTGTTGCTGCATCCACAGAGCAGCTGGAGGCCGAACTGGTGTTTTCTGATTTGTGTACTTGCCCAAACATCAGAATCCATTTATAGTTCCTAATCATGAGTTGATTCCTAACTGTTATTTTCATTTTTTAAACAGATGAGAGTAAGGCTAAATTTAATAACAAATTTCTGATCTCTTCTAACAGAGCTAGAGGATGGATTTGTGACTGAGGAAGACATTCCTTACAGTGAATAAGAAACCTTACTTTATTAACAAGTTTGTCATGGCCCAAGTGTTAGTCATTAAAGTTTGCAGTGATGCTTTGGACCACATCAAAAACGATGACTTGGGAGAAATTAATACACCTCAGATTTCTCAGTTTTACCTTTTCACCTACAGGCGAGCATGTGAAAGCAATAAAACTCGAGAAAGAGGATGTCTCTGGAGAGTAGTGGTAATGTGGAAAGAGTATATGAATTTCATCGTCTGGTAACTTTCTCCTGTTAGTTAACCCCAGGCAGTATTCTGCATAATCAGAAATAATTGACTTTGACCAGTACATATGAAATGGGTTTGGCCACCTGCGCAAGGGACCCTGGGCCCTTTCACCAAAGTTTCTAATTAGACTTTTTGAAAAATCATATTTCAACAAATTTCCATCGGTTTTGGGTGATTTCCCATCTAACAGTTTTACTGATCTTGTTTGAGTTTATTGAGTTCGCCATAGTTCTATGGAGGCTGTTTTGTGTTTTGGAAAACCCTTGATATTTCCAACTGCTTGAAATCCTTCCTTAACTCTCCAGAGCTTTCAGGGTGGACAGAATGTTTCATGTGGACTCAGGCTTTTTCCTTCAGGCCCCTGCTTATCTCCCTGTTCCTTTTCCATCCCACTATCCTCTCTGCTTCACCGCCCCAAACAGGGGAGCTTTCTGTGCTCGAGTTTACAAGACACAAACTCACAGCATTAGTGGCTCCATCGTTGACAGGGGCCTGGAACACCTTCCCCACTAAACAGACCTGAATTAGTTACACCAGTCACCAGACTTCATGTCAGGCCCCATTTCCTCGAGAAAACTCCTCACCCACCCACGCCAACCTAACAACTCCAATATCTTCCCCTAGCTCTTGAGATCTTACCCCTTTTGTGGGAGTCATCATGTTGGAGGATAATTATCTGTTTACTCGCCCATCTTCAGCCGTAGACTACAATTTCTTTGTGGGCAGGGGCTGTCCTCATATGCCTCTAGAGTCTCAGTGCCTAGTACAGTGCCTGACATGTGTAGGCGCCTAATACATTTTGGGTGAACAAATGGATAGATGGATAGATGAAATGTAGCGGAAGAAAAATAATTTTCCCTCTACCTTCTAGGTTCTTGACTGAGATGCCTCCACCCCCAATAAAAGACAGATTAGCAGGAGAAAAACAATCAGAAGTTTAATAACATGTATCCCCACTGTATACATGGGAGAGACCCAGGAAAGCTGAGTAACTCCCCGAAATGGCCCAAGCTAAATGTCTCCAGCTAAAGACGAAGATGTGGCGGGTGGAGGAGGAGGAGCCAGTTTTGGGAGGTGATCAGACAAAGCACTGTAAACAAGGGTAAGATTGTTATGCAGATTTAAGTCCTCACCTTCGCCATTGATGAGAATTTCTAAAGATTTAAAGTCATTCCTCCTGCAGGTACAGAGAGGGAGACACCCTAACAAATGGAGATTCCCCCTAGAAGTGTAAGTGTCTATTAGAAAGGGTAAGTTCTCAGTTTTTAGAGCTTCTCTTGTGTCTGCTGTCAATAATCAGCCCAAAGAGGCATACTTTGGAGTGGCAAATTCTGCCCTCCTTCAATAGTTCCCCCTCTGACTTCTAATACCAGTGAAAAGTCACCAGTCATTCTTGGCCCTAGTTTCTTTATGTGTAAAATGATAGATTAGAACTGGATGCTATCTAAGGTCACTTTCCTTAACGTGAAATTCTACGACAGTCTCCCCTCACAGTGAAAATTGATTCCTACTTACTTTAAAAAGTAAAGTCCCAGGGAAACTGGCAGCCATGGGACCTCCAACAGTGGGGGGTGTGGTGAGGGGGTGTAATTGACCGAGGGCCCCAACCACTCTGCCCTTGGAAACCCATCTTCACGTTTGAGTGCCTCCCACAGGCTGCTTTTGGCTGAGCAAGTCAGGGATACTAAGGCAAGACCTTTTGTGGGAAATACTGCTCTCCTCCGAAGGTAGACTTTGGCTCCTGGACTCTCCCTCAGCTTGGCCAGACCGTCTTTCGACTTCACAGCAGCCTTGGGTGCTCGCTCCCAACCTTCTTTCCCCCTCTCCTTCTCCAGGATCAGACTTACGGGGGTGTCCAATGGCTTTCCCAACCTTGCCCAGCTCCCTGCCCATTTTCTCTCACAGGTGTTTCCCCTAATAAAATCCTTGCATGTTTAAGGATTCCATCTTGGCTTCTGCTTCTCGGAGGACTCAGACTAACGCCGAAACCTAGTTCGAACTGTAATGCAGTTAACTGATTATGAGTCAATGACAATTTTCGACTTTATAGCTCATTCAACACATCTTATAATAATATTAATCCTAGTACTAGGGAAAGTAATCAATTAGGGAGCGTTTTCTATGTTAGTCACTGTTCCAAGCGCTAACATATATTAAATAATTTAATTATCACAAAAACCATTGTCCCAACCACCATATTATATAGCCCCTTGACATCAGAGCTGATCCGGCTCTTTCTAGAAACACTCTGCATTTGGCTTTCCTGACACTGTACTAAGCTGGTGCTCCTTTTACCTTTCTGAGCATCACCCAGGTCTCTTTTTTTGGACCTTCCTCCTCCTTGACCCACTTCTCACGTGCTAATTTCCTTGGGGCTCTGCTCTAAGCCTTCCTCTCCATACCCTACATCCGTTCCCATAGATTCAGTAACCAACTACGTGCAGATGTCTCCCAAATCTCGTCCTGCTTCCTGGACTTCTCGCCCAAAAATCCAACTTCCTACTCAGCATCTCTCCTTGGTTGTCTGTCTGATGAGCCCTCAAAATCAGCATGTCCCAAAGAGAGCCTGTCATTTACTCTAGTCTCTAACATGTTTCTCCCTCCATATTCCTCATTCCAAAAATACAATACTGCTGTTTCCCCATTAATACATCCCTCTCACACTCCACATCCAATTTTCCAGAATAGGATCTCCTTGATGGCAGAGATCCTTTGTCCTTGGTTGCT